CGATTTTTTATAAAGTTGAATCATTCATGGTTCGCACCAACTTGAATTAATTAAACTGCCATATCCTTGTTCAGCTTTGAAAACTGAATCAGAAAATGGTCTTAAAGCCGTTTCAGATCTAAGCGCCTATCCGCCAAGGAAGCATCGAAAATTTTCAGGGAACACATATTCCTGATCGCCGTAAAATTCTCTATCGAATGGTGTCTGAAACATCGAAAAAAAATTTTTTTGCTCGAATTTTGCTTTGCGTGCACCTTATATAAGAGAATAGAAAAACTCCCTTAGTCAAACAGACAAAAGAAAAATGCTGCAACACAGAAAAGGAAAAGAGAGATGACTAACATAGAAAAGAAACTAATGACAATAGCACGGTCGATCGATCGAAGTCCATAATACATACTACCTCTTCCTAGTTTACATGTGAAACTACAATCATTTTGTTTTTATACAAATTTTCTCAACATTTTTTATATTGTACGTATTTTTTATCTGTTTAATTCCATATTAGACAATTACAACAAATAACAGGATAGTAGACAACAACAACCAATTCAAGGATGGTACTGCACATGTACGGTGGGAAGTCGTGTTATTGGTTGTTGTAACCACATTGCGGCATTATTATGGCATTTAGGTATTAATCAAGCATCTACAGATTTACCACAACATCCTCAATCATCTGATCATTATGTTAATTATATTGATAATAGTTTAGTTTACGAAGATTTTGATAGTGATGAAAATACGGATATTCGATATTCATTAGCTGATGACAGTGATAATGATTCTGATAATTAACATTCATTTTTATTATGAACAAACAGTAACTAAACAATGATAATTTGTCGAATTTTGTCTTTCGCTCACAAAATCGGAAAATTCCTGGTAGATAAGACCAAGAGAAAACAGCAGGGACACTAAACTTCTCCAGATTCCTGTAGTACATAGTTAGTTCAGTTAACAACAATGACGAATAATTTAGTCTTATTTTCGAAAATTAATGCATTTAAACGCAGAAAGATCATATATCGACAAAGTTACCGATTTTCATTTATTGTTCATTACAGTATTTCGACTCCTGTATTTTTGGCCCCAAAGCAAAAAGAAAACCAATTGGACCATTTTGTAGAGAATTTCATAAGCTATCCAATGATATATAATTTGACATGTATCCACAGTTCTAGGAGTATGATGAGTATCAAATTGACTGAAAATATTAAAAGAAAACAGGTTTCAAATGTGTTTGACACCCGCTGGATAGATCGTCCCGATGCGGTGATTGTATATTTGTATTTGTATATTAATATGAAAGAGTCAACATTCATATTAGGATTATGTGTAATAAATGTTATGTGTAAATAAATGTTTATCGCTGACGTTACCCGTTGCATGTGGTTTACAGTCACCGGGTGGTGATATTATGGATTGCAAACAACTAACTGATGATATAACATTTATGTTTATTTAAATATATTCGAAATCAGAAATTAGAACAAAATTATGAAGAAATTCTTGATGTAAGTTGTTGCCACCATAAACCGTAAATAGCACTCTTGAATATTTTAGGATGTCAGAGAGTTATGCGATATGACTGGTCATGAGGTGAAAATGCCGCGGATAACTGGTAGGCAGACAATTCGTTCAAATGTACCATCAACAACACCACAAGAATATTATCGTCTTAATTTATTCATTCCAATATTAGATCATTTTATTGCTTCACTTAACAAACGATTTTCTACTCAGCAGTGGTTAGCATTAAGAGTGTCTCGTTTAATCCCAGCAATCATCGAATGAAAAACATTTGATGATATTAAAGAAGCTGTTGAAATGTATCAAGATTTGTTACGTGGTTTCAACAACTGTTATTAAACATAAGTTTTTGCTATATCAGAAGAAATGGATAGATATTCAGCTACATGACCGTCCTAGTAATGTTATAGAAGCTTATCTGTCATGTAATGAAACATTTTATCCTAATATAAAAAATATGATTAAAAATTTATGCAACATTACCGGTAACAACCGCAACCGGTGAAAGAAGCTTTTCCACATTGAAGTGCCAAAAAACATAGTTCAGATCAACTATGTCTGAAGATCGTCTTAATGGATTAGCAATGTTAACCATAAACTCGGATATAGCTATAGATATTGATGAAGTGATAGACCACTTTTCCAGAAAAAAACGGCGTGCTAATTTTGTTTTATGATTTTAAATATTACTTTAATTCTATCCTGTGTAAAGCGAGGAGTAGTAGTAAAGGAAAAGAAGTAAAGGGAATATATTTTTTAGGTTTACTAAAAATAGGCAAAAATGAGACATTTCACCTGATATAGGTTTTGCAGATACATGCAGATAAACACTTCAAAACGAAAAGGTCTACGAAAAAATAATAAATATAATAAATCAGGCTACCGAAATAGGTTTTGTTTCCATGCAAGTGTCATGCTACGTCTCAGGAATGTTCTGTTAAACAACAGATGTAGCATAGTTTAAGAGCCGCGGCATTCCCTGGGTCAAATTCGTGATAAGAATGAAAACAAGAGTCGAACTATGTATATTTTATGCTTCTGGACTACTTTTCGTTTGGTGCTCACTTTTATGCTTAAAATGAAAAAATGTTCTTATAGTAGAAAAACAGTCAGCATTTTTGAGTCGGTTCGTTGTCATATTCGTCTTGATCAGGTTGGACAACGTAGTGTTAGCTAAAAATACATTTCAGTCTTCAGTGACTAGGATTTCTGAAAATGTTTATCCGGCATGCAATACAAACTTATTCTTCTGCACTAGACAATAGTTCTGCTATGTTAATTCCAGCCATTTGCGTAAATGACAACAATATTAATGTCTGCAAGGGTTGTTGGAGTGGATGATCGATGGCTGAGGCAATGTCATAGCTAGTTTTGAAATGTTTCAATGCCTCCGGATAGTTTCCAAGGTTCAAGTATGTCTGACCAATGTTACAGTGGGAATGAATCAATGTTGGATGCAGCGCCGGCAACACAATCGTTTCCATTTGTAGCGATTTCAAAAAGTATTCTAATCCTTTTTGCACATCACCTTGTTTCTCGTAGATTAATCCGAGATTTTCTAGTGACATAGCCTTTTCTAGATGATTTTTTGGTAGACTGGTTTGCTGAATTGAAAGTGCTTTCTCCGCATATAGAAGTGCATTCTGGAAGTCACCCATATCACGATAAACAGCTGCCATCTGATTGTATGTCGAAGCTATACTTGTTGTATTTGACGGAAGTAATTCCTCTTCGATCTTTTTAGCTTTCTCAAAATAGCTGAGTGCTTTCTCGTTATCATCCAGATGCGCATATGCGGTTCCAATATTGTGATATGTAGCTGCATGAGCGAGAAAGTTGAGTGGTGAATGTGCTAATTCCCATTTGAGACATTTGTTGTAACAGTCGAGTGCTTCTGAGTGACTACCTTTTCTCATTAACAATGACCCGAGATTACTTAATGCACTGGCTCGATCCGGGTGATTTTCGGACAAATTTTCAACTACTGACGAATACAGTTGTTCCGAGAACTCGTATTCGCCCATTCTGTACGTCAGTTTGCCCAATGTAAACAGATCGTTGCTGGCGTGTATTTCTTTTCTCAATAATTCTGTCAACTCTTTCAGTTCTTTGTCTTCTTCACCGTCCAAAATCAATTTCACAACCCATACACCATCTTTCATTTTTTGAACAGATTCAATATGAAAAACAGTGCCAACTGAGAACAAAATTTCTTGTTCCGTTTCGAATGCACTGTATTGAGAAATATTGTGAAACGGTTTCGGAGATTTTTTTGTATCGACTTTCATTTCAAACAGAATCGGTGTAACATCCGCCCGATCAACCGATGACTGTAGAGCAAAGTGAAGTGCAATATTGCGTCTTAAGGACGTTGATAGAAAACTGTTGATAGATAAGAAGCCGCCGATATTTTGCTGTAATCGGTTAAATTCATTGTTATCCATTGCTTGGCCCCGATATAGCAGCATTGAGGACTGTTTTTTCTCGTATGTGTGCAATAATTTCAAATGATTGTGAATATCTTGAATGAAAAACTTCATTTGGAACAAAAGTACAACTGACTGAACTCGTAGCGCGTGGTTCAGTATCCGATAGAGGAACGTGTCGCGCGTATACCATTTGATCGCTTCAGCGGGTGAATAATTTTGAGCAAAATCTTCTATATTTTGCAACTCCTTTTCATTGTCATTGTAAAGTTTACGACAAATAGCGATAAATCTTTCTTTGTCGCCTGACGCTTCCATTCTTAACAATATTTCGATTAGTAACTGGAAGAACATGAACGATGCCTCTTGACGATTCGGTTCGTCTACACCCGTACGCCTTGGTATCGACACAATAGCAATCTCATCCGCTGCCGCCAATTTTGTGGTATCAGTTTTAAATTTTTCACAAATACTGTTGATGTCACTGGTGACTATTCGTACTTTTGGATAGTTATCCGACCATTCTTTGTTTTTCGGAACATTTGAACAGAATACGTATACATTTTCGATTTGTGGTTTGTCATGAATATCAGGGACGAGGTCCTTGCCCAGAGACCCAGATACGATCAAATAAATTTTTTCTTTTTTAATAGACAACATATATTTCTTACATACCGCAGGATCAGTGAATGTTTTCAAGTAATTCACAGTGTCTCGTAACTTCTGTTTTGTCTTTGCACTGTCCTTCGTCTTATCGATGTCTGCGTCTAACCAGACTACGACATTTGTCTCCAAATTCTCGTTTTCATCCTCGCCTCTTGGATGTGGACGTCTTGCTGCAGTCCGAATACGAATTGGTTTGACATCGATAAAATTGTCCGAAGTGGTAGTCGGGATTGTCGATTTTCCAGTCGACGCTGGAATGGGTGCTGACTTTGGTTGTGGAACAAGAACGTCCGTGGATGATTGTGCACGCGAGCAAAATGATCCCATTGTTCACGTCAATTTGCAATCTTCAAATTCTAGAAAACAAAATATTTGGTTTAGAAGAGATCTCTCCGGCTTGTCCACGTAACTTGACACTTCACTAATCAAGTTTTTGAAAAAATTATTTTAGAGTAGAACTAAAAGGAGCATATCACTAGATGCAATTTTTGGTGCTGATTACGACTCTCACATTACTTTTTTCAACGTATTTTCAAGAACTTGTGCATTCGGTTATGATCGGTTTCAGTTAACCAGTTAAAAACCGAAACTAGTGCATGCCCAGTTACAGAGTAATAACTTGCAATATCAGACTAAACTATATCACAGACAGAAGGCGCACTAATGTGAAGTTTATACCAACACTTGTTCAGCGCCCAACTGCAAATTTTAATTGTAACGCATGCATAAATAAATTTCGATGTACGCACATGCAGATAAACACTTCGAAACAAAAAGGTCTACGAAAAAATAATAAATATAATAAATCAGGCTACCGAAATAGGTTTTGTTTCCATGCAAGTGTCATGCTACGTCTCAGGAATGTTCTGTTAAACAACAGATGTAGCATAGTTTAAGAG